GATCTCCTCTCTGCTGCCACAGCGACTAAGTCTGTAATGTCCGCGGGGTCTTTGTTCTCGCGTCCTGGCCTCCGGGATTGGGTGGGGCCTACCTGGCTCTGTGCGCACGTTTCAGCTGGGAATCGTGTTGGTATGCGTCCATCCCACACTCGGTCCCAGGAGCCCTGCCGCTCCCGGAGAATTCGCTGCCTGGGCGCAAGGCGCAGGGGGCTGGGGGAGCCTGCTTGGCCGGCTCCGAGGGCCTGCCAAGTAAACTTTTTTTTAAACTTCCACATATGAGAAAGAACATCTATTATTTGTATAGCTGCATGTAGTTCATCTAGTTTAATTTGCTTAATATAATGTCCTCTATCTCATCCATTTTTTTGCAGCTGACAGAACTTCATGCTGCTGTCTTCATTTTTCTTTAATATGCATTTTTGCAATGGTCAGTGATATTGAAAATTTTTTCATGCATTTATTGGCCATTTGTACTTCCTCGTTGGAGAAGTGTCTACTCATTTTGGAGGCTCATTTTGTGATTCGTTCTTTATATTTGTGGAAGTCTAAATTCATCAGTTCTTTATATATTATAGATATTTGTCTTCTGTCAGAAGGATTACTGGCAATTTTTTCCCCATTCTGTAGTTCTCCCTTCACACAGTCCATATGCCCATCAACATGAATAGATAAAGAAAAGTTGGTATTTATACACAGTGGAGTCCTCATCTGCCATGAAGAAGGATAAATTTTAAAGAGGCATTTTACAGCAGATTAATGCACTTTGAAGCCATAATTTTAAGTAAAGTCAATGAGACAGACAATTTTAAATATCACACTGATTCCCTTGTGTGAAAAACTCAAAGTATAAATATGGAGCAAAATAATGGATGGATATTAGGAAGTAGGAGGAACATTTTCAGGTAGTAAACATAATGAGAGGAAGGGAACGAATGGTAGCAAAAGGGATTTAAAGAAAAAAAGAATAGAAGAAAAATGGAAATAGAGCTCTGCAACTAGTGAGAGGAAGAAGGGCTTGGGGGAGTGGAGAAGGAAACAAAAAATTTAGATGTGCTTCGTACGTGTATATCAGGGACTCTGGCAAAGACCCTGATCACCTGTTTGGTGCTACAATGCAAGGCTATAAAGAAAAACTCAGAGACAAGGTAAAAGTGAAACAGGAAACTGGGATGGTCAGAGCTGGAGATAGCAAAGACCCAGAAACAGCCAGATCCATGGTATTTATTGGTTGTATGATCTATAGAATGGGGCAAGGAGGCCACATGTGGTTCTGGGGACAAAACACTGATTGATGCAGGAAGGGCTCGTAAAGGAGCAAACAGGACAGTCTTGCTTCAGGAACAGAAGAGAGCAGGAATAGGTCATGGTTAGTGAGTAACTCATTTTTCAAGTAAAATAAACTATAGTTCTGGGAAAGGAATTTGGGAAGAGTCACTTGTACTCAGCTGCCATGTGATCTCAAATCAGCTTCATGAACTTCATCTCTGGTATCCTCAGTGTTGGCAGGAAGAAAACGGTAATCGTCATTGGCAGTGCTCCCATGAGTCCCATGGGCTTTGGTCTGACTCACTACTTTAAACAAGATAATCGTGGGATTACGTCTTTACAGCCCACAGTTCTTACAGTGGTATTGATACACAATGGAGTGCTAGTGAGACATGAGGAAAAATAAACGAGGCATTTGTAGGAAAATGGATACACCTTGAAATTATATATTAAATGATTTAAATCAGACATTCAAGATTTACTATTGCATGGTTTCTCTTATATGAGAAAATCACAGCATAAAAGAAGAGTAAAATAAATGATAGACAACAGGAAGTAGGAAGATAGGTATTTCTCAAAGGGGAAGTAGACCAAGAGATGGAGGGAGGGAGGAGAGAGGGAGGAGGAAAAGGGGATTTAACAGGAATTAAGATGTGTTATATGCAAGTACCAACTCCCCAAAGGAATGTAAATAGATACTACACACATGTACTAAAAATAGCATCAAAAGACACAACTACAGTCAGATGGTAACTGTGTCATTTCTATATCAGTTTCCACAGTGACATCACCTCCTCCTTTACTAACTTCTCCACATGCATCTGTATTTTAAGTAAAAATGAGATTACATTTGGGGTCTACTGAGATAACCCAGGATAAACCAGTCATCTGCAAAGATTCTTTTTCTAAAGAAGTAACATTTGCCATTTTGTCACTTAAGTCAAATATTTACAAATGAGAGGCTTGGGATGCAGATGTATCACTTGGAGGAATATCATCCAACACATCATAGAGATGTCCTCCGGCTGGCTCAATGGAAGTTTTATTTTCTGTTGACCAAAGGAAGGACACTCAGGTTTATGCCTTGAGGAGTAATCTCTGGGTGTGACAACTGCATCTGCTGCAGCCACCTGGAAACCTAAGGAGAACCAGGCCTTCAGGGGTCCAGCTCATGGAGGGTTCAGTGAAGCCCTGCCCCAGGTGCAGAACATTACTTAACTCTGAGGTCCTTGAAAGAAAAGGTAACTCTATTGTTTGAATACATGAAGGCTACAGTTTTTTGTGATCTACAGTGTCCTCACTCATGAAATTAAAATATCCTCATCTCACCTCTGAGATCATCTGGTTATGCTAATCTTTTGGAGATAAAACTGAGTATGTTGGACCCTAATATTGCCTCAGAGGGATATGGTTTACTAGTGACCAGTCCACTGATTACTAAAATGGGTTCAAAAGCTTAGCTTCCTCATTGTACTGTGTGGGTGTGCTAGAGCACAAATGGTATGGCCCTAATCGTGCAGGGAGACACAGAACAGCCTCCAGGTATCATATTAGCATCATTTAACTTTCCTGGTGTGACCACATCCCACTGCTTTCCCTTTTGTGAGGCTGAATCATAAAACACTACTAGGACTGCCTAGAATTTATAAGAAACTAAACTCAATGCAGAAAGAAAAAAAAATCTGTTCGGTCAGGAACCAGAGTGAGAATAGAGGAGCCAGGGACAAGAATGCACCCTTCCACATCACATGCCCAGTAACCCACACACAAGATTCCACCTCCTAACAGTACACTTAGCTACTGAAGGCATCAGTGGATAAACCTACTGAAGAGTGTTATCCTCTCACCTTCCATGTCCCTGAGACTTTAATGGGGCATTTTAGATCTAGATTTTAAAACTTACTCTAGACTCCCAAGTCAAGAGTGAATGAAACCACATGGAAGAGAAGTTGCTCTACTGATGAGTTCCCTCAAGGCTCCTTTCATGTCCCGGTTTCTCAAACTGTAAATAAAGGGGTTCAACATTTGAGGGACCACAGAATACATCACTGAAGCCACTGTAGTCTTCCTAGGTGAGTCAGTTATTGCAGCGCTAATGTACACCCCAAAAGCTGTTCCATAGAACAAGGACACAACAGACACGTGAGAGCCACATGTGGAGAAGGCTTTATGCTTTCCTCCTGGTGATGGCATCCTCAGAACAGAGCACACAATGTGAAAATAAGAGAAAATGATTCCACAGAGAGGAAGGCCAGCAAATATGCAAGCTGAGATGTATATCAGGACGGTATCAAGCAGAGTATCAGAACAGGCAAGCTTGATGATTTGAGCAAGCTCACAGAAGAAGTGAGGGATTTCCAGGACTGTGTAGAAGGACAACCGAAGCACCATCAGACTGTGGAACAGTGCATCTAACATGCTAACTAACAGAGAGAACGCAACAAGGAGGACACAGAGGCGGGGTGTCATAATGGCTGTGTACCTCAGTGGATGACAAATAGCTGCATAGCGGTCATAGGCCATTACTGCGAGGAGGAAATTTTCCAAGAATGCCAAAGCTAAGACAAAACCAACCTGTGTGAGACAGCCTCTGTAAGTGATGGTCTGACTTTGTGTTTTGATGTTTGTGAGCATCTTGGGAATTATAGTCGTGCTTATACAGATGTCAGTGAAGGACAGGTTGGAGAGGAAGAAGTACATGGGGGTGTGGAGGTGGGAGTCACAGCTGACGGCCAGGATGATGAGCAGGTTTCCCAGGATGGTGACCAGGTACACGGCCAGGAAAAGGCTGAAGATGAGGGGCTGCAGATCTGGGTCATCTGTCAGTCCCAGGAGAAGGAATTCTGAGACAGCTGTTTGATTTATAGCTTCCATGTCCTCTATTGATCTGGTGAAAAAGTTACAGTGGAAATAAAATGAAACGGTGGTTTATTTGCAAGCAATAGGTGCATTACCTGGAAACATGTAACAAGGAAACATTTTGTTACCACTATGGAATTACTTTTGACAAGTCTAGTGATGAGCAGAATATGTTTTTTTAGGGACTGGGGATTTAGCTCAGCGGCAAAGCGCCTGCCTGGCAAGCGCAAGGTCATGAGTTTGAATCCCGGTACCGGAGAAAAACCAAAAAAAAAAAATATATATATATGTTTTCTTTTCTTTTTGGTCAGTTGTTTATTTAATTAGTTATGTATTCAATTATTTGTTGTTGGTATAAGTTTGAGATACATAACAATTGCATTTGTCTTGGGGAAATGGTCCATATACATAGTAAAGTTTAATCATTTTCACTTTCCCTTTCTCTCTGCCATTTTTCTCTCCTCTTCCCTAGATGTATTTACCAACTGCACAAATTTGACTTCCTTGCTTTTGTACGTCTCTTTTTTATGTTGCTCTTTAAAGTTTTTATATCTTTAGTTTCCAACATGAAAGAAAGCATGTGACTGACTTATTTCACTTAGTAGCATCCATTTTTCTACACAGAAAACAAAATTGTCTCTATGGCTTAGGAGTACTCTATTGCGTATATACTACATTTTATTTATACATTCATCAGCTAACAGGTGCATAGACCATTCCATACTTTACTTATTGTGAATTGTCATGCTATAAAAATGATACGTATATATCAGTGCAATATGATGATGTGTTATCCTTCAGGAATATTCCTAGGGAAAAATAGCTAGGTTTTAATGATTTTCTTCTCATTTATGTAGAGTCACATAAATTCTCTGGTCTTTGCTTACAATATCTCTTCATTCACTTGTCTCACACCGACTCTAACTTCTGTTACCTCGATTGAACAATGCATCTTCATATTTTATCCCAATAGCTGGAACTGTAACAGAGGACAAAGTACAAATAATCTTCATAAATGTCTCATGCCTTCAATTTAAAAAAATGAAAATAAACTTATTGAACTTATTTCTAGAGCACTGGTTTCCAGCATTGGCATGCTGCAGAATTCCTTCTCAAATTATGAATGATATTCATTATGCCAGCCTTTGGAATTATGCAAATCAATCATGGACACAAAAGTATACTGTCCATGTTTGGAAAACATTGAGTCAGAGGTCTGATGCTCTGGTATATCTTGAAAAATCATCTGGATAGGCTAAAATTAACACTAAAAGTGACCATGACAAGCTCATTAATTCCTCAATAATTTTAAAGAGTCTACCTCAGCACAGTGTAAAATGTTACCTTGATTTTTTATGGTTAGCCACTTCTATCCATTAAACAGTTTGTTACAGGTGGAAGTCACATATCAAGGCAGTTGGGAATAGAAATTAGAGAGCAATGCAGATAAAGTTGCAGCTCACAAGAATCTTCAACTGGAGCCATGCAATCTGTTCTAGCATCTAATTCTAAGAGGTGCTGGGTAACAATATGAATGACATTCTCATCCTAAAGGGACTTCTTGCATTAATGAGATGGGTACCATGGATAAAAAAATATGAAATATTTTAAAAAAAGAAAGCATGAAATTGGAGACTCCACAGAAATAGTTGGAAAAAACAATTTGTTAGTGTCAAGATTACCAGATATAGGCATGTAAAATTGATCAAACAATATAAGCACTGTTTCTTTCAATGAATGAATAGAAATTAGTAGTACAATT